ATGGCATTTTTAGGGCCAGGAGGCATCAGGGGGTGGGCAGAGGTATCAGAGCTGCTTTCCTGGGGAGCAGCGTGCCGTGGTGGCTCAGATCAGGGGGTTTCGGGGAGCTCTGGAGCTGCCCCGGTGGGAAGGGGGCAAGCGATGCTGAGGCAGCAGCAGCCTCCCACACTGTAGCCTGGTTGCTCGGGAGGGTCCCCTGGACCCCTTGCGGATGCAGAGATGTGTTGACCTTGTCCAAGGTCACACCTGAAGCCTGTGCCCGATTTCAGAGCAGTGCTGGCTTTCCTGCTCCCCAGACTGTGCTCAGCCATCAAACAGCCTTTTCCTCCCTCTTCCTTTTAAAAAAAAAACCCTGTGAAATACGGCTTCCAGTTCAAAACCTGCCCCCGACGCGGCCACGTTTGGTTCTTCCCCCCCACCCTGACCCCCCATCACGTTTGCGTGATGAGCTTAAGGCTGGTTTGTGCATTACGGTTGTTTAATACTGAGGGGTTTGCTGCAGATGGGTGTTTCGTGGTCTCAGAATGGCCTCCCTCTCCGTTGCATAAAACAAGAAAGTGAAGAAATGCCTTTTTTTTTTTTTTTTTTTTTTCTCCTTCGATTAATGAAGTTTTTTAAAAATCAGAAAATACAAAGAAGTACTGAGAAATCTGCTAGCAGGGCCGGAATGGGGGTGGGGGTGTGTGCGTACGTGTCGGGAAGCGAGAATTGTTTTGCAACCTGGTTGCTAGATCCCCATGCTATAACGCGGTGCTGGGAGTTGCTTCCTGTGTAATTACTTCTGTTCTGGATGTGCTCCTGACTCATCCATCCCCCCCGTCACATGGGGCAGGCCACTTCCCGCCATGCCTCAGTTTCCCCATCTGTAAAGTGGGAACTTTGATACTTACGCTTGTGCTGAGGGACTTTATAAACCGAATTATTCACCTGTGGATGTACTGCTGGTGGTGTTGGCTCCTAATGATCCAGTGCTTGGGGTGAGGGGGGAAAAATACCTCGATTTACAGGCAGGCAGCACCTGCAGGGGCAGGGAAATGTTATTTCCAATTTAGGCATCAGAAGGCTGGGGCTGGGAGAAGTTAAGGGGCTTGTTCCGGGCAAGCTGCGCAGTGAAGCTGGGCAGGTTTCGCTCTTGCCTGTGTTTGGCCTTGGTGCACCCCTCCTGGCAAAGGGGGATCCCTTCTGAACAGAGGCGAGCCAGCACCGGGCTGCTCGCTTCGCTCTGGCTTTTTCAGCCTTTGAAGAGAGCCTGTATTTAAAGTCAAGTGGATCCGCTTCTGCCATGCCAGCGCATCGGGGAGCGATGGGCTTATGTATTTATCTTTTTCCAAACAAACCCGCGGCGTTGGGCAGAACTGCTGCTTCTGCTGAAGCCTTGCCGAGATGCGGGGGGCTGGTGCCAGATCTGCCACCGGTGCCTCGTGTGACCAGTCTCCTTTCCTCTCCGGCCACCGCAGAGGCTCCCGTTCCTGGGGAAGGTGCAGCAGGTGCCTTGGGTTTAAGCGTTTAAGCTCAGCTCTTTATAAAACACCCTTAGCAGCAGGCTGGGGTGGCTGGTGCTCCCCTGTTCCTGCGCACCAGTGCCCTCGAGCGCTGAGCTTGCTGTGCCCTTTCCAAAGGATGCTTGCTGCCAGCGCCCTGCCCGCATCTCTCTGAGCATGTCTGCAGAGCCTGGGAGCCCAGGGATGAGCAATGGGAACGGTTTTCCCAGTGATTACGCGATGGTATCAGGAGTTTGGCTGGGCAGGGCGAGGCTGAACGAGCAGGGGACCTTTCCAGTAGAAGTGGCGGGATTGGGAAATACTCCCAGAGGTGGACTGGGGTCCACTGGTGAGGCTCAAGCCACTCTAGCCCAACGCCAGGCATGCCAGCCAGCTCGGTCCAGATGCTGTCTGGCTGTATTAACCCTGCTCCTTGCCAAGGCTTGCTAGTTCTGGCCCAGATCCGTGCTAATTCAGCTGTTCTTCCAGACTGAGAGCACCTGGGTTGTGTTTCTCCTCCTCCTTTCCCAGAGCGAAGGTAAGCACGGGTCCGTCCTCGCCCGCTGATGGAGGCATGTCTTAAATGCCGGGCAGGATGGTGGACTCGGCGGTGATGTGGAGAGGTGCGGAGGGCAGGCGAGCCGATAGCTTGTCCTTGCTGTGGAGCACGCTGGCATTGACGGACCCGTACCTGCCAACAGGCAGCTCTCTGCTGGGAGTTTGCCCGTGCGATGCTGATGCCTCCGAGCAGCCAGGGCCGCTGTGACTCACTGCGCTTTCCTTCTTCTCTCCTAGCCTTTTGCATCGAAGATGGCGGGTGGCGTGGACGGCCCCATAGGGATCCCGTTCCCCGATCACAGCAGCGACATCCTCAGCAGTCTGAATGAGCAGAGAAACAACGGGCTGTTGTGCGACGTGGTCATCTTGGTGGAAGGCCAGGAGTTCCCCACCCACCGCTCCGTCCTGGCAGCGTGCAGCCAGTACTTCAAGAAGCTCTTCACCTCAGGGTTAGTGGTGGACCAGCAAAACGTGTATGAGATAGACTTTGTGAGCGCAGACGCCTTGTCGGCTCTGCTGGAGTTCGCTTACACCGCGACCCTTACTGTCAGCACTTCAAATGTCAACGACATCCTCAATGCCGCCACACTGCTGGAGATCCCGGCGGTAAGGGATGTTTGCACGGATCTCCTGGACAGGAAGATTCTGGCCAAAAATGACCAGATGGATACAGTAGATCAAATTGATCAAAGGAACCATCTCAGAGCAAAAGAGTACCTGGAGTTCTTCCAGAGCAACCCCGTCAATGGCCACCAAGGCAGCTTTCCGTGGACCAACCCAGAGTTGAGAGACCTTCAGAGACTGAACTTCCAAGGCCAAGAGGAGGAGGAGGAGGCGGACTGCAATGGCGGCATGGACTTCTACTCGCAAGCCCCCCTAAACGAAAGACCAAAGGCGAATGACTGTGATCCTGACAGCAACCCAGCCATGTGGCTGGAAAGAGAAGAGGAGGACGCGGCAGCGGCTCCTGGCTCCTTGTTTTCACCTTCTCAGAACGGACATTACAGTGGCCGTAGCCTGCCCACACCGGGAGAAGAGGAGGGGACCCCAGGGGGGCCTCTGGACCAGCAGGAAGCTGGCGACTCCCCCAGCTTTGTTCCTGCTGTGGTGAAGACGGAGGATGATTCGAGGGAGGTGGATGGCTTGGCTGCCAGCACCCTGCTGCAGCAGATGATCAATTCCGTGGGGAGACAGCAGCTTGGGGAGGATGACCGAAAGGATGACGATGGGGTCATGGATTATTACTTGAAATATTTCAGCAGTTCGAACGAGGGCGACGTCTATCCGTCCTGGTCCCAGAAGGTGGAGAAGAAGATCAGGGCAAAAGCATTCCAAAAGTGCCCCATCTGCGAGAAGGTGATCCAGGGGGCTGGCAAGCTGCCGCGCCACATCCGCACCCACACCGGGGAGAAGCCCTATGAGTGCAGCATCTGCGAAGTCCGATTCACCAGGTAAGGAGCGGGCGGACGTTGGAGGAGAGGGGACTGTCACAAAAAAACAGCTCTTGGCCTTCCCCAGGGGCCATTGCAGGGCTGGTCTTGTGCGATTGTATCTTGCCTGCTCAACTAATTTCCATCTTAACAGGCGAGTTGGATATGAAGGCTGGAGTTTTCCAGAGAGACGAGCAACTTGGGTGTCTTGACTCTTGAGATATCTCAAGGGGCTTGTTTTGAGAGCCAGTGCCGCACCATCCTGGTGTCCTGAATTGCTGAGCTCTGCTGGAAACCTGGCCAGACCCAGGCTTCTGCAGAGGCCAAATAATGTGGTTGATGAAACAGAGCTGCAGCCCTTGGTATTTCTATCATGGCCGAGGAGCCCTGGGGTTGAGGCGAGAGTTGGAAATGGCTCCACGGGGTGACTGAAGCACCGGTGGCTGGTAGTTGGGTTGGGAAGAGGCTGAACCCTGCATCGCTCCTGTCCTTTCTCGGTGAACCATGGCGGGCTGAGCGATGGCCACCCCGAACAACGCACAAACCCTGGTGCCTTGGTTCAGCTCCCCGGGGGCGTTCGCCTCGGCGCTGTTTCTAATCAGGGTTCCTCCGCTCCTTCCCTCTGCCCCGGGAACGCCAAAGAAAGGGGATATTGTTTGGATTCCTCTGGTTCACTCGAGTCCACGCGTTGCAGCGCCGCCTCCTCTCTCTGGTCTCTGCGGCTGTGATGGCTGAGTTGGGGTGGGGGTCCCACCCTGGTCCCTCCCGGCCCTGCCGAGGGGCTGTGTGGGCTGCCTGGCAGAGGAGCCACGCTGCCTGCTCTCTGCCTGCTGAGACATTCCCAGCTTCCCGAGTGCCAACTGCTTCACTTCCCAGGAGCCTCTTCCTTGGGAGGTGGGGGTTACATGGGGTCTGCTCCCCACCGTGGGCAGCCCGTGGACGTGGCAGGG